TAACTATTATTATTATTTATTGTTATTAATAAATAATATTATTTATCTAACTATTATTATTATTTATTGTTATTAATAATATTATTTCTCTATCAGTGATTAGAGATATCTGTATGTAGCATAAAGAGCTTACCGGCATGAGTCTGATACAGATAAAGCTGTTTGTTCCCGTCAACAAGGTACAAGTCTTTACTTGTTTGGGAATTTCCCATCTTATATACGATGTAGTAGACGTCATTTGATGCTGCAGAAAGATATTAATAAATGATACTAAAGTTAATATGTTGCTCTGACTGCTTCAATCTATAATACATTTCGACATTTTAATTCTCTTACCTACTGCTTTAGACTTTGGTTTACTCTTGAACCAACCCAATGAGCCCTCGATATGGGAACCGTAACTATGGTAACGTAAAACAAGATATGTAATATGTGCATAAATAGGGGATCATATCTACAGCTGTAGTAAGGTTTAGTACTTACAGTTCATTTGTTTCAGGGTTGAAAGGATCGCTAACRTCAGATCCAGCGTATATTCTGAGGTATGGTAAAAAAATCAAACATTTATTTAATGTATATATCTTTTGAAAGAAAAAGGCTAACCTTTTGTCAGGAGAGCAACTTGTTTTCATACCTTGTTATTTCTGTGTTCAATGGATCAAAATTGTCAGAAAGTCGACTGAACTGCGCCGTGAAAATTTTCCCAGTGATAACAATAGGGGTCCCTATACATGAAACAAGCGTTGAACATTACTTGCATAGCATGTTACAATACTTCTAACATTACTTGCATAGCATGTTACGATACTTCTAACATTACTTGCATAGCATGTTACAATACTTCTAATATTTCTCATACCTGGGACACAAGAAAGTGGACTTATCTTGGAAATTGTAGGCGTGGCTCGATTGCGATACTGAAAATAAGATATCACAATATTGAGTGATGAATATTCCTTATGGTACATCACCACAAATTACACTTAACAATAAGTTATTGAATTAAAAGTATATATGTATGTATGTAAGTCCCGCAGCCCGAATGGTGTACGAGTCAATAGCCCATGAGGCTGAAGATCGAGGGCGAGAGGTCTAATTGTTTTAGTATAAACCTACTAATAGATAAAATTAATGAATGCAAACGATGTTGAAATTAGATTAAGATAATTTATTTTTGCGTTGTTTTGGTTTTTAAAACCAGCCGCATTTTCGCTACTAGTGGTGTATCACTAATACACCACTAGTTGCTCAGCCAATCAGAGCGCAGAATTTGTGATAATTTCAGTAGGTTAACACTAATAGGATAGACCTAGCTTGTGTCTGCTCTCAAAATCTCATACTTTGTTTACATTGGTGGCTGAATGTGGACAAATAACGTTGCATTAAGTATTATATGTTGTATAAAAGGTGCCGGTAATACGTTTAATGTCTTTAATATGTGTATTGTGAAGTACAACAATATGTTAAGCCTCTCATTCATTAGTAATAAGACTAAGCTGTTCCATTAATAGACTCCTTGCACCTTGTAAATCTTCGCCCGCTTTTTTATTATTATTAGACTGACTCACCCGAAAGAAGCATTTGTTTCCGTTCCCACCGCAATAGCTGGGTACTTCTTTTCCACTCACTAGCATGTACAATTCATACTGGGCTTCTGTTGGTATTGGAGATACTCTAATGTGCGGAGATTAATCAAGGATTAGTAATCATGACTCGCTGAACACAAAAACAAATAGATTTGGCTTACCCAGTCTCGCAAGCTACTCTGACTTGTGACACATCAGTGGGTACCACCCTACACTCAATTGAATGCAGTGAAGACTTGAAGAATATAAGATTTCCTATTTGTGGCTTGTCAATACTGAACTGGCTCGGCGCAAAGTCTAGTAATATATATTAAAACCTTAAAATAACTGGTAACAGACGAGTCACGATTAAAGAAGGTGAAACTGACAGGAATGACTTACTTTGTCCATGAATGAATACCATAGTACCTCCAGCCATACTTCCCTCTCGTGGTTCAATAAAGTTGACTTTGGGATCTGCAATATCGAGAGACCAGGTTAATCGTGCACTGTTGTGGTCTCATATTGATCCCAGACTAAAATGATACCCTATCCCAGACAAAATGTCAAAAAATTGATACCCTACCCCAGACCCAAAAGCCGAAAAACCATACCCTATAGGGCGGCACATACCCGTATAGCAAATATAGGGGAGTACCCCCCCCCTCCCCCCGGATCTTAAGCTCTAATGTCCCACGAGAGTTAAGTTTATGTTAGTTTAGCTTGTGAATGTACTACATCGAATGAAGTAGATTTTTCATCTGAATTCGATGGAAAAGGAGCCATACGCGAGGCTTTAGAATATCACAGGGCCCCTCTTGCAGTGGAACATACCGAGGGATGCATTACTGCCTAGTGAGAGCCTAGTGAGCCTGAGAATTCCTTAGTCGCCAAGAAAGAGCCAGTTGATCTCGCTAATAAGGATAACATGTTTGTTGAAGGAATATTTCTCATCCAAAAGAAATGACCAAAAGCATTTGTCATTATTACATATTCGTTACGTTTTTTCAACATCAAATTTGTTATGTAACACAAATTAGTCAAGGATGACATGTTCATTGAAGGAATATTTCTCCCGCGAAAGAAATGACCAAAAGCATTACTCGGCATTTTGACATGCTTTTTCGTTTTTTTACCTTTGTGAAAAACAATTGCCAGTTTCTCTATTATTTCGATGTAATGTCCCACCAGAGTTTATATTTAGGCTTTACTACATCAAATACCGACAAACAGCAAGGTTTCTCTTTCCCAGTGGAACATAACGAGCGATGCATAACCCATACTTAGCCTTCAAATTCCTCATTCCCCAAGGAAGAGCCAGTTGATCTCGCTTATATAAAGGATAATAATACACTAAGTTTGAGACGTCGAAATCATGCGCAAGGAGAAAGACTGATGATAGACGACTCTTTTTCTGACAATAATCGAAACCCAATGACTTTATAAACATTTACCGCGCGCTATGTAATAGCATGATAATAGCATGCGCGGAAATTATGCAAACTTTTCAGTAAAAATCGGCGAAAGATGCCAACGTAATTTCTTTGCTTTTTATTACCTGATAAGAGCTGAAATATCAGTGGAAACGTCTGCATCAAGTCAGAGACAAAATCATTGTAAGCGCAAACTATGATCCCGAAAACAGTGTAGGTTTATAGATGTAATATTTCCTAATTCATATTATGATGACGTAGCGTGCATTCCAAGAATAAATATTCAACCCGCTATTTGTCAGATATTTTTGTCGACTGTTAAGAGAAAAAACTGTAAGTTATTTCATAATTATAACCAAATTGAACAGAAAATGATATTCGCCTCGTCAAAACTTAGCAGTTTTGGTGCAGAATATTGCGATACTCGTACATGAATTACAAAATGGCTTGCCTCTAAAAGGCTTTAAAAGGATATATATCTGTAGATAGATCTGTCATACATTTTTTCTTTACCACCGCTATGAAGTGCAGGATCTTGAATTGATTTACCCTCTCGGGTTGTTGTTTCTTTATACATTATCTTTGATGTTATGTAAGTTTTTTTACGAATGTGAACATAGGCAAATAAAATCCGTGATAACCTCGTGATAGTGAAGTGACTCGAATTGGCAACCTTGCACTGAGTCAAAAGAACGGGCTTCAGTTTCCTTAAGGAAATATTGAAAACTTTTCGATGTTAATATTTTTCATTGTTTATTTTTTCAGGTAGGAATTTAGTTGATTTAGTGCAAGGGTCCGATAAACAGGATCCCTGTAACAGTAGCATTCCCAAATATGGAAAATAAAAAATTTCAAAATAAATAGGAATGAACTGAATTGAAATTCACAGTGTGCTTTTGGGCAAATATGTATAAAACAATTGACACATAATATTTGTAAGTCACCTAGCAACGAAATAACAAACGATGTAAGATACAATGTATTAGAGCAGCATGAGGACAAAAGCCTTGTTATGAGTTTGAAATTACAAACAGCATGGTTCCTGTCCATACCTGAGCGGTGCATGAATACCTAGTGAGCCTAAAAATTCCTCAGTCACTAAAAAAGACCCAGTTGATATCGCCAAAAAGGATAACATGTTTCTTGAAGAAATGTTTCTCGCTCGAAAGTAGAGTTAATATTCACTCTGTTAACTATACTCGAAAGAAATTACCAAAAGAATTAGTTATTTTGCCTTACGTTTTTAACATTACGAAAAGCAATTGTTAATTTGCAGAAGACAAATCAGTCGTGCAAGACCCAGTTTTACTATTGTTTTGATTCTCTATCAATTTTATATCCTTTTTTTAGTTCACAATTTTGAATCAGAAAGCTCAACTTTGAAAAGGTAATAAAATAAATCAGTATAGTGAGTACATATAACGTTGATCCGGCTTTAAGATAGGATTTACTGATCAAGAGAGGAAAAAAATCTATCAAAAAAGTCATCAGAATATACAAAGTCTTGTAGATCCGGTTCACATGGATTCTATATATTTAGAAAACTGTATTTAAGCAGATGATATTCACAGTGAAACTACATGCAGGGTATGAAAGAACTTCAAAGAATTCAAAACGCCATGCTTTTTCAAACCAAGTGGATTGCTGGCTTGGCAGGGATTATTTGTAAGAATATTGTCTATAGAATTCATCATGAATTCATCTCTGTAGATTTCTTCGTGAATTTACTCAATTTCAATTTTCGATTTTTCAACTACCGTATATTCTTTAGTAACCCCATATTTAGGTCGAGGGGTTGTACCCTATTCATCTTAATGTCTAAATTCACTTACATAACCTTTAAATGTCTGAATCAACAATGATTTTTACCCAACTCCGAGAGGATTGATTATTTTGATATCAGCCTACGTTTGTATGGATTAACACGTAGATTACTATTTTCTTTATATACGGTGTTACGTGATTAGCAGAAAACTAGCGACTAATGTTTATGATGCACGTCATGGATGTTTAAATACAACATTTTAACACAAGATATAAGTGTATACATACCACTTGCACTTGCCGACAATACTGAAAAGAGAGAAAGAAGAAAAATCTGTGATTTAGCTGATCCAGTTATTAAAATTATCTTCAGCCGGCCTTGTTCATGACTTACCAATGCATAGCAATACCAGGCTTTGTTCTACGAGATGCATATCGTAACCAAATCGCCAAGTATGGCTTGCCGAGCTAATGAACTCGTTTTTCGTAACTGAGCCGTTGAATCTCTATCTCTTTTCCTCAAAAGTTGGTTCGGTTTATATTCTCTTATCCAAGAACTGTTTCCTCTCCAACAGGCGTCGATATCTGTCTTACTGATTATGCCGGCCTTTATAGCCATTCTTCTCTAGTTCTTTAATTATTTTCATTGGTCGCGGTGGAGAACAATAGTGAAGTGACGTATAAACACTCAAACAACATGCAGTATATAGTAATCAAACTTTGAAACACTTCATTGGTCATACAGATTGAACATAGTTAATGCTCCATTAACTATGACTTGACTGAAGCACAAAGACAAACAAGCAAGCCTGTAAATAAACTAGCATACTTGATTCATGACAAATGTCATGCCGAAAGAGAAAAAAGTCTCTGGGTGTATGTGACGTCATACTTCAATAGTCCCTTTTACAGTTCCCTGCCCCATTTTGAAAGGTGGCTGTGCCTTTGTATCGATGCGAGACGAACGGTGAGCTTGCAATGATAAAGACCTTTTTTAACACCTTGAACAATCATTCACATTTTTCTATCATTGCAAGCTCACCGTTCGTCTCGCTTCGAATTCGATGCAAAGGCACGGCTACCTTTCAAGATGGCGCAGGGAATTGTTAATTCAGTTTAATTTTGAAGCTCAAATCACTGTGCAATATGATTTTGCAAGAAACAGCATCCTTCGTAAAGTGTAAATAAAAGTAATAGGTCCTGTTTGACTCCAGTCTCCCTTGGCGGCATCATGTCAGAAACGTGGTATAGCTATACTTTCTACAAATGAGACAAACGAATATTATGTCGGGCTATAAGCTATAAGCAAACGACTTTTTCAAAGACTGATATTGGTCTTCGGAACATTGGAATAGTATTAGAAGGAGGATAGTTTTAGTTTCTACTTGCTTCCCACCCTGAAGCCACGTGGAGCTCGGTTTGGCGGGAACCTCTCCAAATACATGTCGGGTAATACGTGTTTGATAAATATCCATGATGCAGTGGGGTCAGTGTAAGGATGACAAGATGGCGGAAGCTTCGTTCCCTGTCTGGGTCGGTGGCTTGGCTTCCAACACCAACGAAGCTATGCTTAGGGACATATTTAGTAAATTTGGGTCAGTGAGTAATATAACAATTCTCAAGGATGATAGAGGCCAGTCAAAAAAGTGTGGTTTTGTTAGTTTTGGCTCGTACGAAGTGAGCGAGGCCGCAGCCATAGCCTTGGATGGCTGTCATGTTTTTGGTCAAATAATTGAAACGAAAGGGCCTTCTAAACTAAAAATATCTAGACAACCCCTTAGTCCTCCAAAACAGGAGAAAGATGATGAAAAGGTACTTTTGGACTGTAATTATTTCGTCGAGAAAAAGAAATGCCCCTTTAAAGCTGGTATGGTAAGTACATGTAGGACCAATTATTCTTATAGTGTATTAAATAATTATTACTATAAAGCATGCACTACTACCAAATAATCATCGATGACTGTTGTTTTTGTACTCAGTGTCCATATCGTCACTGCATGGGAGCTCAAGCAACAGAGACAGTCTGCGATAAGTGGCTTATTGACCAATGCAGAGATGTTGAGTGTAGTTACAGACATCCAGTGGTCAATATACTCAAGAATGATTCGAAAGGTAACTAAACATACAGATACAGATATCCCAAAATATTTTGTATATATGTAATGCATTGATCCTCATTTTGTAGAAAGTAAAAATGACGTTGCTGTGAAAGATCCCCAGTCTCGATGCCCTTCACATAATGCATTTAAATGCAATGGAGAATGTGGGTTTGAGGAATGTGATACACACTTCTTGGAAATGGAGGCAATGGAAGAACACATCAAGAGAGGAAGAGAACCTGTACCCTCTGGAGCCTGTTCAGGGGTTGGTAGACTTGATATAGACATGTTGTATACATCAAAACCCTACTGTCAGGGCTCAAAGTTAATTTTTAAACCTTCTAGCCAAAATATCAAAGTCACTAGGGATTGACCACAATAAATAACAAAAGTTACTTGATGCAGGTTTTAAACTTTTCAGTTCTTCACTTTCTAGACTGTGGTCATCATGCAAAACTTAGCTAGTTTTCCCCCCCAAACATTTTGCAAGTTGTAAGCGTTACTTTTGTGTCCTGACTGTATAGATTGTACAACAGCACCTAGGCTTATACTCATTGATGACATTGAAACTGTCGGTTGTACTATTTTTATTGTATCTAACTTAATGTTCATTGTTACTATTTCCCTTCTGTTTCAGTGTAAAGCAGTGTTTTTCAGTGAAGCAGAAAGAACTAAGCATTCATGCCTCAAATCAAAGCAGCAAGAAGCATTTATTCCATTGTACCATCCAAAACCTGTCAAACCATCCTGTTCATGTAGTTCTTCCAAAACCAGTACTGTTTGCACATGTACAGCTTGTGGTAGTAAATATGAACACTCCGGTGATAGTTTGAGTACATTTGAATATTCGCCAGAGGGTAAAGTGTATGGAGGACATAAATGTCCCAATTCTCCTTCTGTTAGAAATACTATTGATAGTAAGTTCAATGATTTGTCTTATTTTAGTTATTATATAATATACAAGTGATACACCTRTGAGGCATTATCCATGATTAACACAGGGTTCGAAATTAAATTTTGAGCTAAGTGGTCCTTTGGATAACCATGTTCCAATTCTAAGGTGTCCAGAGCAAAACTTAGGAGTCCCACTTGGACGCTCTTTTGTAGAGCTTGAATGACAATGGTCAGCAGTTAGCTATAATGCAGAAGATGCAATCAAAATTGTCAGCAGTATTCAATAGCTTCCAACAAATGTGTTATCTTGAATTTTTGAAAGTTTATCAGTTGAAAAATGAACTTTCTAGGTTTTAAGCAGGAGAAATATAATTTAGAATTATATTCGGACTTTACGGACTCTTTTATTTTTTTCTAAAAGAAAACACCTTGGCAAAAACATAGGTCGTCAGAAGGACAACCACATTCCAAAATCTAGTCATCTGAATTTGCAAACTTTAGTCGTCCCTGACGACTGGACGACTGCTAATTTCGGACCCTGTAACAATACCTCTGACTCACAACAATAACAACCAATGGATTAACCAATGTTGTTAACTGTATTTAACATTATCAGGCAAACAGGAATTAGAACCCATTGGTGTATTTTGGGACATTGAGAACTGCCCTGTTCCTAAAGGAAAGTCTGCTGTAGACATTGTCAAGAAGTTAAGAGAAGTATTCTTTACAAGTAAAAGAGAAGCTGAATTCATGTGTGTATGTGATATTAGTAAAGAAAAGAAAGAGATCATTGAAGAACTAAACAAGTCTCAGGTAACATCAGAATTTATTGAATTAGACTTTCTCACTTTACACTTTCTTGAACTGTTTTTTAAATCAGTCTGTTGTACAGATCAGACATAAACCCTGTTATACTTTGTCTGTTAGTGTTTGCTGAATCAGTTTGTTGTACAGATCAGACATGAACCCTGTAACACTTTATTGTTCGTTTAATGTTTGTTGAATCAGTCCGTTGTACAGAACAGACATGAACCCTGTTACACTTTATTGTCTGTTAGTGTTTGTTGAATCAGTCTGTTGTACAGATCAGACATGAAACCTGTTAC